CTGAGGGAGGGAGAATCAGTTTTTTCCAGGGATGTGTTCCCTTATAGGTTATTCAATCCCAAGTAGTTCAGCCCTAAGCACATGCATATGGGCACCAGTGAATGGACTCAGTGCGTGCACACACACACACACACACACACACACACACACACACACACACACACACACAGAGAGAGAGAGAGAAAAAATCAAAGAGAACAAGAAGTTGAGAGAAAGGAGAGGATGTGGGAAGAGCTGGAGAAGAGGAGTGAGAATGAGGAAATGATGTAAATACAGTATTCATGTATAAAATTCACAAAAAATGCTAATAAAATAAAAAAATAAAAAAGAACACACACCACTTTCCCAGCCTTTTTAACATCATTTGGGAAGCATGGGTCCACTGTCTTAAACGTGTTTCCTAAGGACAAAGCTTCCCAGTCCAGCCAATGCCTTGTACTGTTTTTCACCTTTTATTCTCCTTTCTTTTAGACTTTTAACAGTCTGCTCGTTTGTTCTGATTTTCAAGCTGGTATCAGTGTTGAGAACTACACACCCAAATGCTATGGGCTTTTTCTCTTGACTGGAGAATCTCTTCAATAATGAAATGCATGTCCCTTGACAGTGGCCAACACTTTTTACACTAATACTAACATTTTTTAAAAACTTCCCAATGTCCCCATCACTGATTTAGGCAGATGGCAGGCCAGAAGGATTTCTGCTTTATGCAATTTATTTATCAATTATACTTTTAGGCACGTGAATGGCAGAAGGGTCTATGTGAGGGAGACAGTAGAGGACATTGCAAGATTCCTTATCTTCTCGTATCATCTTCAGGCTTCTTTCTTCCGATGTAGTTGCTTAATTATTATGAGGATATATAAACATTAGTTTGAAATATAGGCAATTCTATACCCACTTTTTATATTCATGACGTATTTAAATAAGTTCTTGAATTATCATATTGTTTCCTAATTCCTCAAAAGAAACTTATTCAAATATTATATAAGTATGTAAAAATGTTGCCACTAAAATATAAAGTTTAGAGTAAGAATCCTTATCTATCTTAAGCATTATAAAGAATGTGCTAAATTAATGTTTATTAAATGCCAGTGAATTCTCTGGTCAGATACTGAGGTAAGGGAACAGCGATATGGAGAACATGACAAGAGTGGTCCTCACAGACTGAGAACCTTCCATGCAAACAAGGCTGGTTAGCAGTAAATGCTCCTGCCTCACTGAACTATTGTAAGCATTAACTGAGTTATTATAGGTATGAAACCCAAGAGCTGAGACACTAACTTCTCAGTGATCGCTATTATTATATACTCATCCTCATTTTTACTTTCTATACATTATAAATTCATGACTGTTCATTCTTATAACCTCCAGAAAACAGTATGATGTCAGGTCCTGGACTTGCTGATGAAGCACCATGAGGCCAAATACCTCACAGTGACTAGGCCACAAATGATGCCACTGGGATTGGAACCAGAGTCTTCCTGGTTTCAGTTCTAAGTGCCAAGGGATGGGGTTTAAAAATAGGGATGTTTTTTGCAAGGAATAATATATTCTAAAATGAAATGGAGATCTTTCTTAAAGGTTAAAAACTCACTCAATTTTGTGTCTTAACAGGGCTTATACTGAGTTCAATACTGTATAACTGTATTAATTGAACTGTGAACCTAGAAACTTGCACCCACTTGTGAAAGAGATGTACTCTTGCTCTGGAGTGTGTTACTGAATATGTTAAAGCTATAATGAAATGCTTCTTCTAATCATGTAGTTATTAAAATTTTTTTAAAGTAATGATTAAAAAATAATTCTTCAAAGCATAAAAATTTGCTCCTTATTAGTAGATGTGAAAAACATTACCATTGAAATCTACCTGATGACTTTATATCCATGCTCAGGTGCCAAGGAGCTCAGAAAGTAACCAACTGTGACTAGTAATAATCAGATATATAGAAATTAGAAATGCATGTGCAAATATCTTAATGTCAATTGCATTAAAAATGAATTTTTCTGTATGAAACTGTGTATTTTAACAATAAAATGGAGATCTTTTTTTAAGGTTAAAACCTTCTTTAATTTTATGTCTTATAGAGTTTATACTGAGTACAATAGTGTATAACTGTAATAATTCAACTGTAAACAAAAATTCACAGCCAATTTTGAAAGAGATGCATCTTAGCTCAGAAACTTGTTATTGAATATGTCAATGCTGTTGTAATGAAATGCTCTTTCTAAGTATGTGGTTATTAAATAAATAATTTTTAAAAATAGGGACTCTTTTTTATAAATTCACCCTTTTCCTTGAGTGCTTGAGAATTTTAAAGGCAGGAAGAAGCCAAAGCAGAGGCGGCAACAGGAACCCCAGGAAGGGTAAGAGCTGTCCAATCCAAGAGCTGTCTAACCCAGACAGTACTGGGTTCAGAGCCAGCTGTGTGACCTTCAACAGAGAGATTACCAAAGTCCACATTGCTCAATTCACAGAACAATGATAATCCTAGCATTCCTCAAAAGGAGCAATGTAAGCCTCAGACACAAGCTATGTATTTACTTGGTCTCATCTGTGATCTGTGGCCAACAGTGGCTACACCCTAAGTGTTTGTGTCAGAATTGGCCCAGCATCCAAAGACTGAAGATAGGGAGTTCAAGTCTGAGACCACCATAAGCTGCACAGCAGGACCCTGTCTCAAAATAATAATAGTAATAATAATCAGTTTGTCAGTTTGAATTGCTCTCAAAAGTCCTTGAGCAGATAAACGTCTTCTAAACATCTTCTCAATGACTACAGCATAGCATATAATTAATTCTTCAAGAGTCAAATAACACACGTAATTCTTCAGCTTCATATACATTTTGGCCCCTATAAAGGATAGAAAGAAGAGTATACTGCACCATTACAGTAACTGAAGAGTAATTTTCACATATATAAACAAGTAAGACCCAGCAGCAGAAAATAATAAACAAAGATATATGTATCTCCAAAAAGAAAAAAGTGTTACACTTTTTATTTAAATCCAGAAATATGGTAAGCAACCAAATGTAAAATAAAACAACAGTAGGTAAATTCTTTATTTTTTCACAAAATGATAACTAAAAGCTTATTTACAAATACACATGCTAAACCAGGCTCTTGATGACTGTCAACTTCCCACAAAGCAATCAAATAGAGATTAACATGCCTTGGGGCTAAGGAAAGTCTAAACTGCCTGTGTTCTTACCAAAAAGGACTTAAAAGATTTTTCTCTCAAATAATAAACAGTATTGCAAAGTTTTTCATTAAAGTAATAATGTTTAATTTTGCTTACAGACTAAAATGACATTTTTAAGCAGATTTCAGAAAGTACTCAAAACTACTAAAAGAAATATTCTAAAATGCAATCAGACGATTTAGTGGCTCTTTCCAAACAAGCTGGTGTTGCCTTTACTGTACCAACAAAAATTCCCACCAAATGATAACCAAAACTATCTTTTGGTAAACAGGAGCTTAAATGCTGCCTTTCTAGTCAGATTAAATTTCAAGAGATCTGAAACCAAACTCAAAATAAAACAGCATTTTACAACAGTTTCCTCAAAGAAATAACAAGAAAGCTGCCCTTTGAGGTTCTAGGGGATAGACATCAAGGTTAAGAACTCAGCTGCTAACTGGCATTCAACCTGCTAGTGCTAACCTCAGCTTTAGAGTGTGAGTTGAGAGAATGGGGCTCAACAGGGAGGAGGATGGAAAACAGAGGGGTACTAGATAGGGATCCTCAAGAAGAAAAGATGACCTCTTCCATAGGGCTATTAACAAGCTTTCACCCAACACTGGACCAGATTGCCAAATACAGCATAAAATTTGGGAGGATCAGAGTCTCTTCCCAATATCCTTGGGGAAGATACTGCTGAGGTAAACTACTGACACAGGAAGAGTTCTTTCAGAAATATCAGGTTCCAAGTCCATTTTCAGAACCTTGCTGTCATTACATAAACATGATGAGCTATGTCATGGTTCCCTAACTCCAGCAGAAAAAGCAAAACTATTTCTCGGTGTTCAGGTATCAACATTTCAGAGTTTAAGATAACTTACAACTGAGATTGAGCTTGGCTTTTTGTTGTTGTTGTTATTGTTGTTTCAAATTTATACTCCATATGGGAAAAAGGTTAATTCCAAGAAAGCATTTAGCTACTAAAAATATAAATAAATTTCTTTTTAAGCACAATTTAAGTGCATACCTTTTTAAATTAAAAAGGACATTAGGTCTGGATGGCATTTTTCTGATTAGAGGTGATATTCATTCTTTTCTGGCCCTCTGCTCCATCCCCATCCATTCTTCAGTGCCATTTCAGATAGGTGGAGTGTTAATTACGTAGGAGTAATGTTACATAAATTAAAAATATGTGGGACCTGCCACACCTGACAGTCTCTACCTAGCCAGGAGCTTCTAAAGCTATGCTTGAAGCTATGCTCTTATTTAAGAGATATGCCCACATTCAAGACAGTCAGGTATCCCATAAAGTGATTTGAGTGCAGTCCTCAAATAAGGCAAGTAGAAAGTACACAACAGAGGGGAGAGGCAGAGAGTGGACAGGGAAACCGGATCCTAACAGAAGCAGGTAGGCAGGAACAAAGGCTAACACACACACACACACACACACACACACACACACACACACACACACAAATAGAAAAAAAAAACAAATATATATATAAGACAGAGAGGCGGGCACAAAGTCTAACACACACACACACACACACACACACACACACACACACACACACACATACACACGCACACACACACACACTGGATGGTTAGTTCATGCTTAAGTTAGAGAATCCAGAATAGAGAGGACCCAAAAATTTCTAATGCTAAGGTGGTGTCCGCCTCCAGGGTCCAGGACAATACATTTTCACTACAGTTTCCAAAGCCTTGGATAAGTGTTCAGCTTTTCCTGAACAACTACAAAGCCTGGAATTTTGGGTAACAGTCTTAGCTCCATATTCCCATGCAGAGTCCTATAAAGAATACCCCATTGCCTGGGTAGTTTTAATGAGTCCCTATTCCTTTTAAAAAGGATATGATAATTTTTTTATATTCTATAATCTAGATATTTTTCACCAATTCAGAAAATTTTTCCATAGATTTCTTCATAGTAATGAACTTTCTGGTATTTCATTTTCATTCTACAACTCAGATGACAATTTTCCTCTTTTCCAATTCACTGCCACCATCCCACCCACCATTTTCTCTTCCTAATCAGACATTTGTTGAGTCTCAGTAACATCTTGTCCCTCAAACTTCTTATAGACTGACTTATATCCATCAAACTGATGTTCAAGCACTAATGTAGACAGGACCTCTAAAGGAGGGATTTAAGGTTTACGGCTAGGGTTAAGTTTTACAGAGGATTGCCTGATTTGAAAAGGACTCTGGATACTATACATTTTAAGAACAAACTGGGTATTTTGATAGCAAGAGAGAAGAATGGCAGTACATGCCTTTCATCTAGCACTTGGGAGGCAGGAAGATCTCTGTGTGAGTGAGGCCACTCTGACCTACATAGTGAGTTCCAGGCCAGCTGGGGCTCTAGGGAGACCTTGTCTCAAAAAAAAAAAAAAAAAAAAACAAAAAAAAAAAAAACAAAAAAAAAAAAATGGAAGGAAAATGGGGACATTTGTTGAGTCTCAGTAACATCTTGTCCCTCAAACTTCTTATAGACTGACTTATATCCATCAAACTGATGTTCAAGCACTAATGTAGACAGGACCTCTAAAGGAGGGATTTAAGGTTTACGGCTAGGGTTAAGTTTTACAGAGGATTGCCTGATTTGAAAAGGACTCTGGATACTATACATTTTAAGAACAAACTGGGTATTTTGATAGCAAGAGAGAAGAATGGCAGTACATGCCTTTCATCTAGCACTTGGGAGGCAGGAAGATCTCTGTGTGAGTGAGGCCACTCTGACCTACATAGTGAGTTCCAGGCCAGCTGGGGCTCTAGGGAGACCTTGTCTCAAAACAACAACAACAATAGGTAAAATAAAAATTATTAAAATAATTTGATTTGCTAAAACTCATTCTTTATGATGGTGACCAAACTGCATATATCATAGTGACATAACTTGTCACTTTAAGTTCGTGTCAGTATGCTCTATGATGTTTGCACAAAAACAGAAGAGTCCTACACACATCTCTGACTGCATCCTGGCATTCAACAATGAACAGGAAGGTGGGAAATAAGGCAAAAATGCTCGTTTTTGCAGCTTTCTTTTAGCTTTGAGAGCCTGAAACGAGGCAAGTAAGCAGAAAATTATTACAAAAATTGCAGGAAAGTTTCACAGAACTATCCAGAATACAAATCTCAATTCTAGATATATATCCCACAGAAATACTGAAAGCCTGGAAATGATCAATAAGTTCATCAATAAAAGGACTGGTTAAATAATTAAAGGTGTGCCCATAGTACAAAAGTGGATCTAAAATAGGAGTATCTTAAGAAGACACGGATCTATGAGGAATAACCTTGAATGCTGTCAACACTGCACTCTGTACATTTTAGTGGAAATACAGACAGAAAATATACAGAAGTAACTACACGAACAATAGACACACGTATATCTAACTGTAGCCCCAGCTAGCCTTGAACTCACTCTGTAGACCAGACTGGGCTCAATCTCTCAGAGATCCATCTGCTTCTGCCTCCCAAGTACTGGGATTAGAGGTATGTGCCACCATGTCCAGCTTGTATGTATAACTTTTTAAAAAGTAAAATGTATAAGTTACAGAACGATAAGTACAGTTACCACATTATATATAATTATTACATTTTGGAAATAAATGTTGTGTATGTATGTACATGTACATATGTATGTATGTATGTATATGTATGTCTATACACAAAAAAAAACTTGATCTAATACCCACAAAGCTAGCCATAGAGGCTATATCTAGGCAATGGAAATATGGAAATTGTCTTACTTTTCACCTACTAAATACTAACTTATTATACCACTACAATTTAAATCTTTTTATATTTTATTTATTATTTTCATTTTAAATGTGTATGAGTGTATTACCTATACATAAGTGCACTCATGTCATGCAATGCTGGCAGAGGTCAGAGAGCACATCAAATTCCCCTGGAATTGGAGTTACAGATGGTTTGTTAGCTGCATGTGGGTGCTGGGAATTGAACCTGGATCCTCTGCAAGAGTAGTCAGTGCTAAGCCATCTCTCCAGCCCCAAGGAGGCTGAGGAGACCCCACAAGATGGACTTGAACCAGTGTCCAGTCTACAAAGAGGAGGGTCAACAGAGGAATCATTTCCTCCATGCTTCCAAGCGAAGCCAGCCATGGTCTGGCAGGACCTTTGACTTATCTTCGCATAGGTGGAACTGGTAAAAGAAAGGAACCAGGGGCTCCTCCCAAGCCCATGTGAGCCCTTAGGAACAGATCTTCAAACGACCTTAAGAGTAAAAATAAAT